CAGCATCATCATCAGCATCATCATCATCAGCATCATCATCATCATCATCATCATCATCATCATCATCCTAATCATCATCAGCAGCATCATCATCACCACCATCACCATCACCACCACCACCATCATCATCAGCAGCAGCAGCATCATCATCATCACCACCACCACCACCACCATCATCATCACCAGCATCACCATCATCATCAACAACAGCATCATCATCATCATCATCAGCATCAGCATCGTCATCATCGTCATCATCATCGTCATCACCACCACCACCCATCATCAGCATCATCATCAACATCATCAGCATCATCAGAAGCGGCAGCATCATCATCAGAATCATCAGCATCATCATCAGCATCAGCATCATCATCAGCATCAGCATCAGCATCATCATGATCGGCATCAGAATCAGAATCATAATCATCATCATCATCATCAGCAGCAGCATCATCATCATCGTTATCATCGTCATCAACATAATCAGCAGCATAATTATCATTATCAGCACGATCAGCAGCAGCATCATCACCATCAGCGTCATCAGCATCAGCACCATCACCATCACCATCATCATCATCATCATCATCATCATCATCATCATCATCATCATCATCATCATCATCATCATCCTCATCCTCATCCTCATCCTCATCCTCATCCTCATCCTCATCCTCATCCTCCCCTCCCTCCTTCCTCATCTTGCCGCCCTCTCTCCCGCCCTCCTCCCTCCCTCCTCCTTCTCTTGGGCCCTTTTTGGGGCCCCTCGTCGAAGGTCTGCTTTTCAGCGACCTCGTGCGCTACTAGTAAGGAAGCGCTCTTGCGGAGTCCTGCCACTCAGGAGCCACCCCTGCCAGGTGAACCTTTTTGATTTGCTTCAGCGGTTGATATGTGATAGATGATGTGGCCCGGAGGAGCCTGTCCTCGCAATTTATACTTCGGCTGCGCAGTTCCATGCGCTCAATCTTGATCAGCCCCATGGATTCGCAAGTGCACGCGCCAATCCCAACGCGTGCGCGGTAGCGGCGGCAGCGCTGGCGCGCTCGTGCGATTCGGGGCCTCCTCCCTCTCTCCCCCCCTGCCCTCCCCCCCCCCCTCATGCAGCCCTCCTCCCCCTCCCTGCCTCCCCGCCTCCCTCCCTCCTCGTCCTCAGCCCCAGTGGGCGGGGCAGTGGGAGTCCTTCCAGAACTCCGAGTTCCCCGGCCGCCCGTAGGTCCAGTCCGAAACCAGGGGGTGGCCCATGTGGGCCATGTGGACCTCGCGCAGCAGGCGTATGCCCCTCTCGCTCGCCCGGAGCTCGCCGTCGCAGCAGGCTGATATGTATACACGTATATATGTATGCATGTACATGTTCAAATATACAGACATGCATGCATACACATGCATGCATGCATGCAAACATACATGCCGTATACATCTACATACACGTATACATTCGCGTAAACGCCTACATCTGCAAATGTACATACACAAACAGATACACACCCGTACAAAATATACATAAACATGTACAGCTGCATGTACTTAAACATATACATATGCACATGTATATACACATTACATATGCATACACGTGTACGCATACGTATACATACACAGATATTACAAACTTATATCTGCACACACGTAAACATTAAAAACACATTATAAATGTACATGTACATATACATGGGCAGGTACATGTACACATACCTGTACATACATAGACAAACATGCGTCCGCCTGTACATACATAAACACGTGTCTATATCTACAAGTATCTGGAGTAATACGTGCGTGTGGATGTACATACGAGTGTAGACCCGTGGATCCCGTCCCCAGCGTTCAGGGGGTTGCGAAGCGACGGCTCGCGCTGGGTTGCGCGACGCTGTGGGCTACTGCAACACATCCTTTGAAACGCGTTTCACACACTTTCCTCCACCGAAGGCGCCCGACGCGTTCAAGCGTGCGTGCCAAGCCTCACGAGGCGCACGCTAGAAGACGACGACGCTACAGCGCTCCTCTGGAAACAGACGTGCCAAAGACGAAGGAGGAAGCGAGAGGGGGAGGGGGGAGGGAGAAAAACGTCTACTTGCACATGAACAGGAACGCATCTAGGCCTTCGTCGAATGCCACTGCTTCGACATCGAAGGCGCTTCAACAGTTGTGCATGTGGGTGCCTCTGGTGCCCACGAGAACGGGTCTCTCGGTGGACAGATCGATGAGGGAACTCGCTGCAGCTCCGCGCTCTGACGCAGAACCGCCGTCGCAGCAGAGAATGAATGGATTCGCCTGCCCGGCGTGCACATGACCCACAGGACGCCACGGCCATGATGTCCGCGCCTCTAAAAAATGGCTGGCAGCATGGTCCGCGACGTTGTTGTACGGTCGGACCTGGGACATAATAACATCCTTCGAGGACATGAGACCCTCCGCCGGCCAAAACTCACAGATAACATCCAAGGGCACCCTCCCCAAGATGCACAAGATAGAGGCCTCCTAGATGGGGTCCGAGTAG